TTGGCTCGAGGCTCGAGGGCGCTGGGCCAGCGAGGCCACAGGCGGGTTCGACACATTCCCGCCCGAGCCGAAGCCACGTCCGCCGACCTGAACCCTTTTCAGGCCAAGCGAGCTTGGAGGACATGTCATCATCACCACCACCACTATCATCGCCACCACGTCATCATCACCATCATCATCACCATCATCACCATCATCACCATCGTCATCATCAGCATCATCATCATCATCACCATCATCATCATCATCATCGTACTAATCATCAGCATCATCAACATCACCAGCATCATCGTACTAATCATCAGCATCATCATATTCATCATCATCACCAGCAGCATCATCATCATCCTCATCCTCATCCTCATCCTCATTACCTTCATCACGCTCATTACCCTCATCACCCTCATCACCATGATCATCATCGTCATCATCATCACCATCATCATCATCAGCATCATCCTCACCATCATCATCATCATCAGCATCATCATCACCATCGTCATTTTCACCACCATCATAGTCATCACCATAATCATCATCGTCATCATCACCACAATCATCATCATCATCAGCATCAGCATCATCATCATAATCACCATCTTTATCGTCATTATCACCATCACAATCAACACCACCATCAGCATCATCATCACCATCATCAATGACATTATCAGCATCATCAGTGCCATCATCAGCATCGTCTTCGTCGTCGTCGTCGTCGTCGCCGTCGTCGTCGTCACCGTCACCGTCATCGTCATCATCAACATTACCATTACCTCCATCATCACCATCATCATCAGCATCATCATCACCATTCATATCGTGAGCCCGGCGTGACCCCAATTTGGGGAAAGCTTTCTGTTGCATGGGCGCATTGCTTGGCATTGCTTGGAGTTGGTGGCAGGAGCCCGAGGAAAGCGAGGAACCCGAGGAACCCTTAGGAGGAACGAAAAGAACCCGAGGAACCCGAGGAACACGAGGAATCCGAGGAACCCGTCGGAGGAACTTGGGGAACCCGGGGAATCCGAGGAACCCTTCGGAAGAACCCGAGGAACCAGAGGAACCCGCGGAATCCGTGGAACCCGAGAAACCCGAGGAACCTGGTGAATCTCCGAGCAATGGGCAAAGCAAGCCCCTGAGGCACCAACCTTTAACCACATAAGGACCCCTTAGGCAAGCCTAATTGGGGAATCATCATCACCACCACCACCACCACCACCATCATCATCATCATCATCATCATCCTCATCCTCATCCTCATCATCATCAGCATCATCATCATCATCATCTTTACCAGCATCATCATCATAAGCATCATCAGCATCAGCATCATCATCATCGTACTCATCATCAACATCATCATTCTCATCATCGTCAGCCGCATCATCATGACCATCACCAGTTTCACCATCACCATCACCATCATCACCATCATCACCATCACCATTCAGGACCATCTACCATCAGTCACCATCACCACGATCATCACTCACGATCATCATCACCACCATCACCACCAACATCAAGGCCGACATCATAGCCACCATCATTACTGCTCTTATCATCGTCATCACCATCACCTTCACCGCCATCGTCATCGCACTTATCATCATCATGTCCACCAGCCTTAATATCAACATTCCACACCACCAGCGTCGCAGTCACATTCACCAGCGTGGTAATTGCCATCATCTTCACCATGATCATTACCATCACCATTACCAACATTATCATCAACATCGTCACCATCGCCATCATCAGCATTCGCACCATTGTCATCATCATCACCATCATCATCACCATCATCACCATCATGATCACTAGCATCATCATCAGTATCACCATCATCGTCATCGTCATCATCATCGGCATCACCATCCGCATCATCATCAGCATCACCATCATCTCATCATCGGCATCATCATCACCACCATCATTATCACCATCTTCATCCCAATCTTAATCGTAATCTTCATCTTCATCGTCGTCTCTATCTTCATATTCATTATCATCTTCATATTCATATTCATCTCCATCTTCATCTACATCTCCATCTTCATCTTCATCTTCATCTCCACCTTCATCGTCATCTTCATCTTCATCTTATTAATAGTAAGCGTCATCTTCATCGTCATATCTATCTTCATCTTCATCATCATCATCTTCATCTTCATCTTCATCTTAATCTTCATCTCCATCTTCCTCTTTATCTTTATATTTACCCACCGGTCGTTGAAAGTAGGTATTTTTGGATTCCCAGAACCCAATCTACTTTAAGCGCCTTCCTATTTCAAGAATCATTACTTTTTGTTTTTTTTTGTGGCGGGCGCAAACCTAATCTACTTCTAGGGTTTGGTTGTCACTTCCCTGGGTGACGCTGGTCGCTCGGCCCCTCGGCTGGCCCCATCTCTTGGTTTTGTTGTTTTGTGTTTGTTTTCGCATGGCCGTCGGCTGCACTGGTCGCCCCAGGCTCGTTCGCCGCCCCGCGGTCGCTCGGCCCCTCGGCTGGCCCAATTCATTGGTTTTGTTTGTTCTTGTTTGTTTTCGCTTGTCCGTCGGCTGCACTGGTCGCCCCAGGCTCGCCCGCCGCCCCGCGGTCGCTCGGCCTTTCGGCTGGCCCAATTCATTGGTTTTGTTTGTTTTTGTTTGTTTTCGCTTGCCCGTCGGCTTCGCTGGTCGCCCCAGGCTCGCCCGCCGCCCCGCGGTCGCTCGGCCCTTCGGCTGGCCCCATTCAGTCGTTTTGTTTGTTTTTGGTTGTTGTCGCTTGTCCCTCGGCTGCACTGGTTGCCCCAGGCTCGCCCGCCGCCCCGCGGTCGCTCGGCCCCGCAGCTGGCTCCGTTCCTTGGTTTTGTTTGTTTTTGTTTGTTTTCGCTTGTCCGTCGATTGCATTGGTCACCTCAGGCTCGCCCGCCGCCCCGCGGTCGCTCGGCCCCTCGGCTTGCCCCAGTCCTCGGTTTTGTTTGTTTTTGTTTGTTTTCCCTTGTCCGTCGGCTGCACTGGTCGCTTCAGGCTCGCCCGCCGCCCCGCGGTCGCTCGGCCCCTCGGCTGGCCCTACTCCGCAGTTTTGTTTGTTTTTGTTTGTTTTCGCTTGTCCGTCGGCTGCGCTGGTCGCCCCAGGCTCGCCCGCCGCCCCGCGGGCGCTCGGCCCCTCGGCTGGCCCAATTCATTGGTGTTGTTTGTTCTTGTTTGTTTTCGCTTGTCCGTCGGCTGCACTGGTCGCCCCAGGCTCGCCCGCCGCCCCGCGGTCGCTCGGCCCCTCGGCTGGCCCAATTCATTGGTTTTGTTTGTTTTGTTTGTTTTCGCTTGTCCGTCGGCTGCGCTGGTCGCCCCAGGCTCGCCCGCCGCCCCGCGGGCGCTCGGCCCCTCGGCTGGCCCAATTCATTGGTTTTGTTTGTTCTTGTTTGTTTTCGCTTGTCCGTCGGCTGCACTGGTCGCCCCAGGCTCGCCCGCCGCCCCGCGGTCGCTCGGCCCCTCGGCTGGCCCAATTCATTGGTTTTGTTTGTTTTTGTTTGTTTTCGCTTGTCCGTCGGCTGCGCTGGTCGCCCCAGGCTCGCCCGCCGCCCCGCGGGCGCTCGGCCCCTCGGCTGGCCCAATTCATTGGTTTTGTTTGTTCTTGTTTGTTTTCGCTTGTCCGTCGGCTGCACCGGTCGCCCCAGGCTCGCCCGCCGCCCCGCGGTCGCTCGGCCCCTCGGCTGGCCCAATTCATTGGTTTTGTTTTTGTTTGTTTTCGCTTGTCCGTCGGCTGCGCTGGTCGCCCCAGGCTCGCCCGCCGCCCCGCGGGCGCTCGGCCCCTCGGCTGGCCCAATTCATTGGTTTTGTTTGTTTTTGTTTGTTTTCGCTTGTCCGTCGGCTGCACTGGTCGCCCCAGGCTCGCCCGCCGCCCCGCGGTCGCTCGGCCCCTCGGCTGGCCCCATTCATTGGTTTTGTTCTTGTTTGTTTTCGCTTGTCCGTCGGCTGCACTGGTCGCCCCAGGCTCGCCCGCCGCACCGCGGTCGCTCGGCCCCTCGGCTGGCCCAATTCATTGGTTTTGTTTGTTCTTGTTTGTTTTCGCTTGTCCGTCGGCTGCACTGGTCGCCCCAGGCTCGGCGAAAACAAACAAAAACAAACAAAACCGCGGAATGGGGCCAGCCGAGGGGCCAAGCGACCGCGGGGCGGCGGGCGAGCCTGGGGCGACCAGTGCAGCCGACGGGCAAGCGAAAACAAACAAAAGCAGACAAAACCAGTGAATTGGGCCTGCCGAGGGGCCGAGCCACCGAAAGGCTGCCAGTGCGATCGACGGACAAACGAAAACAAGCCAGAACAACCGAAATCAGCGAGGGAAGGGGCCATGCGAGGGGCCGAGCGACCTAGCGCTATTGCGCGCCGCTAAGACAGGGCCCGAAAATTTGTAATCTACTTCTTGTAATTGCTGTTGCTGTTGCTTTTTTGGGGCGGCCCCGAACGCAATATACTTCTTCCGCCTTCCTACTTCATGTTTCTACCTACTTCTTCCGACCGGTGGGTATCTACATATGCATCTTCATCTTTATCCTCATATTCATCTTCATCTTCATCTTCATCTTCATTTTCATCTTCATCATCATCACCATCTCCATTTTCATCTTCATCTTCATCATCATCATCATCTTCATCTTCATCTTCATCTTCATCTTTATCTTAATCTTCATCTTCGTCTTCATCTTCATCTTCATCTTCATCTTCATCTTAATCTTCATCTTCATCTTCATCTTCATCTTCATCTTCATCTTCATCTTCATCTTCATCTTCATCTCCATCTCCATCTCCATCTCCATCTCCATCTCCATCTCCATCTCCATCTCCATCTCCATCTCCATCTCCATCTCCATCTCCATCTCCATCTCCATCTCCATCTCCATTTCCATCTCCATCTCCATCTCCATATTTTTCTTTATCTTGATCTTCATCTTTATCTTTATATTAATCTGTATCTTCATCTTCATCTTCATCATCATTTTCTTCATCATCACCATCGGCGTCCGATGCTCGCGTCGCTGGTCCTGGAGTTCCCGACCACTACCTCGGTGAAGGATGGTTATGCACCGCTCCGTTGGGCTGTGTTGGCAGACCGTAGGGAATGAGGTTGTTTCGATGCTTGGCGTAGAATGCCCTTAGGAAGAGGCCCGAACAGCGTCCTGCATCATCCGAACAGCGTCCTGTATCATCATTTCTCCCGTGTAGTCCCCAGGGCCAGCTCTTTGTCGCGGTTGTTCTTTGGTGGTCCCGGGGCCCATTCTGGGGCTCTTGTCTCAGCCAGTGCCACGGAGGGTCACAGCTAATTAGGGGTGTCGCCAACATTTCGAGGAAGAGGACACCTCAGGAACCTCGAACGTCCCCAGAACATCCCAAAGTGCAAAACATCGCTCCAAACCTCGATCCTTGAAATCCTCGAACCTCGATCCTCAGCAGGAGCTGGCGACACCCCTAGTGGTGACCGTCCTTGGCGCCGCCAGACTACGTGATTGTCCGCGCAGACTGTTGCGCGAAACAGCCGCCCTTGGCACGAGCCCCCTTCCTGGGGCAGGCAGGGCTGGGGGCAGGCGCTCATCGCTAGGAGGATCGGGATCCCGCAAAGGGGGTGTGTGGTGGGCCCTGGGGGGGGTGCGAGTTCGATCGACCTTTGCACCGAACCGCCCGAAACAGATGCCCTCTCAGCCGCCAGCAGCCCCCGATGGTTGCCGATATGTGGGGCATGCGGGGGGCATTTGTTTGCGGCAGTTCGGTGCACCAGCGGATCGAAATCATTCCCCCCCTCAGGGTCACCCCTCGTTTGGTGGAGCCCGAGAGGAGGAGCCAGAGGGGACGGGGGGATGCAGGAGAAAGATAGAGGAGAACGAAGGCGAGGAGGGGGAACAGGACGATGACTACAAAGAGGATGATGAGGGCGAGCCGGAGGATGGAGAAGCGGAGGCAGAGGCGGAGGCGCAGGACGATGAGGAGAAGGGGGAGGAGGATTGTGCGGAGCAGGATGGTGACGAGGAGGAGGAGGAGGCTTGTAGTGTAGGGCTGATGCCCTTCAGGGTACGCGTAACCCATTGTATGTCGGGTGGGGCACTTGGGCTCTCCCAGCCTTGAGATCGTCGTTGCCCGTCAAAGCGGGGAAGTCCCTCCTTTGGCTGATGATGGTGCGAGTATTGTACCATTTTGGGCAACTTAGAGCGGTGGTAGGCGTGTGCTCTCCGCATGCCTAGTGACAGCCCTTCAGTTCACCTCCTTATGATCATCTCCCCGACGCTGGGCGACATACATATCGAGGGTATGAATAGCTGCCGGCATAACCGCTGGGCCGTGTCCTGGAGGCGTTTGGGAACGGATCGGCCAGAACGGACAGGCTCACGATCTACATAGTCCTTGGTCGAGGACAAGCTTTCCAACGTGCCAGGCTGAGTAAGGCGCACCCCCACACACCCGTAGCATGGCGCCGCCCTGCGGAGGTAGATACGTCGTGCGAACGTGTATTGTGAAGGCAGGACCGCAGGTATCGCCGCCGGGGTGTGGCCTGGAGGCTAAAGCCTCTGCTGGGAACGCAATCGTTAGAACGGACACATGTCAACGAGGACAAATCCACCCCGACCCCATAATCGGCATTTACTAAACGGCCTCGTGCGTTTACTAAACAGCGCTTTCTTATTCGATTCCTTCGCCGGGTGCGTTTACTAAACGGTTGCGTTGTCGGGGTGCTTATTATCGGGGTGGATCTCCAGCCCTCTCAAATTCACGAAATAAGGCAATCCCGTTCGATTAAGAAGCTTCCACATGTTCTACGTCGGGGAAGGCTCACCCTCGATACAGCCGTATGACGTGTGTGGCACCCCGCAGCTTGCGGAAAAGAGTGAGGGGGCGGGCGCGGGGTGGGTCGCGGGTGGGTCGCAGGTGGGTTGCGGGTGGGTTGCGGGTGGGTCGCGGGCGGGTCGCGGGTGGGTCGCGGGCCGGGTCGCGAGTGGAACGACGACAACAACAACAACAACAATCGACAAGAACGTAACAACAATCCGCACCGCGGAACCTCATTTCAGCCACGCGCTCAGGGACAGTGAATGACCGTTCGGCCCCCTCACCCTGATAGCGTGAAAAGGCCCAGAGTGAAAGCAGGATCATTCGCAGTACCGCTGGGCTCGGTCCTGGAGGCTGACGGCTAGTCTGGGGACGAGGAGGAGGAGGAGGAGGAGGTGGATGAGGAGGAGGAGGAGGAGGGAGATGAGGGGGAGGAGGAGCAGGAGGAGTAGGAGGAGCAGGAGGAGCAGTGGGCGGAGGTAGAGGCGAAATACGGCGAGGAGGAGGTGGCACCAGAGGAGGCGAGGTGTGATCGTCTGCATGATCTGCATGAACACTGGTGGTAAGAGGTTTTGAGTTGTCCTTCAATCCTTTCCTCTTTCCCTCCCTCCCTCTCGGGGCCTCTTGAGCCGTCTTGGGGCGGTCTTGGGGGCCTCTTGGGCCGTTTGGGAGCGTCGATAAGCCGAAAAGGCGGGAACACCACAACTACTTCAAAAGCCGAAGGACAATCAACATGTTTGGCCTCTTGGGCCCTCTTGGGAGGCCCCTTGGAGGTCTCCTTGGGTGTCTGGAGGCCTCTTGGGCCGTCTGGGGGCCATCTTGAGCGTCTTGCAGCGATCGTTCGGCGGCTCGGGGCTCTCTTGGCTCGTCTTGGGGGGCCTCTTGGGGCCCTCTTGGCCCGTCTTGGGGCCTTCTTGGGCCCGAGCAATTCACGCACCGCCACTTCGGGAGCTCAGGGTGCACGCGGGAAGCTCTGGGAGATTCGAGAGCGAGGGGTGCAGGCCCCTGAAAGTCTTCAGGAGTGAGGATTGAGGCTTGGAGAATTGGGCCCAGGACCTGAGGACACGCCCACTCCGGGCCCAAAGGCACGGTGGCGGATGATGAAGCACGGGGATGCCCAGGTGCGAGCAGGAGGATGCGAAGAGAAGGAGTTGCGTGATGATGATGAGGAAACAGGGGATGGGGGTGATGGCGATCACAGGATGGGCAGGGCAATGATGTACATTATGGTTCTGATGGCGAAACGACGGTGACGGCGGCGATGCTGCCGTCGACGGTTCTGACGAGTGCGGCGCTGACGATGATCTGGAGGATGATGTTGACGAGGCTTGGGGTGACGTTGGCGATGATGTTGGCGAGACGACAACGATGTGGCTGATGTCGGCCATGCCGATTAGGATGACGACGAGGAGACGGAGCAGAAGCACTATGTGGTTTCTTTGCCTTGATATGCTTATGTGCGCCAGTATCGTCATCTGTATGTCCCTCAGTTGTATGATGCGGTCGATGTGATGTCGCATGGCGATGCTGTTGATCGTGACGCTGTCGATTCGGCTGGGCATGGCGATGACCGTGATTATGTCGCCGCAAAATGAGAAAATGGTGCCTGGACCACCTTACCGATGATGCATACCCATGCCAGCAGACTTGCTCCAACTGATACCGCCGCTGGTTGGGACATGCAAATGACGGTGATCATGCTGATGATGACGATACTGATGACTACGATGATGACGCTGATGTTAATTCTGATGGTGATGGTGATGCTGCTGCTAATGGTGATGCTGACGATGATGACTACGATAATGAAGATGATGCTGCTGCTGCTGGTGATGCTGCTGCTGATGATTATGATGATGCTGATGCTTTCGATCACGCTGATCTGTTGTTGATGTTGATGACAAAGCCGATGCCGAAAACAGTGATGGTAATGGTGATGGTTTTGGTGTGGTGATGGCAATGATGATGCTGCTGCTCATGATGCTGATTCCGATCATGATGCTGATTATGATGTTGCGGCTAGTGATGCTGACGATGCCGATGATGACGCAGATGCTGATGATGACGACGGCGATTATGCTACTGCTGATGATGATGGTGATGATTCATACGATGATGCTGATGCTGATGATGCTGGATCTGCTGATGATGACGATGGTGATGGTGAGGATGCTGATGCTGATGATGATGCTGCTGATGATGAGGTGGATGACGACGATGCTGATGATAGTGCTGCTGATGACGATGCTGATGCTGAGAATGATGATGCTGACGCTGGTGAGGTTGCTACTGCTAATGGTGATGCTGCTGTTGACGACGACGATGTCGATTATGCTTATGATGATGACGATGCTGATACTGAAGATGCTGATGAGGGTGACGATCATGATGCTGGCGATGCTGATGCTGACGGTGACCATGATGCTGACGATGATGCTGCTCTGATGATGCTGGTGATGAAGATGCTGATGCGGGTGAAGATCATGATGCTGGCGATGCTGATGCTGACGGTGACGATGATGCTGATGATGATGCTGCTGATTCTGATGATGCTGGTGATGATGATGCTGATGATGGTGCTGGTAACGAGGATGACGACGATGATGATAGTACAGATGATGCTGATGATGCTGATGGTGGTGATGATGCTGATGCTGCTGATGATGATGCTGCTGATGATGAGGACGATGGCGATGTTGATGTTGACGATGACGTTGCTGATACTGGTGATGATACTGCTGTTGCTGATGCTGATGATGATGATGATGCTGATGCTGCTGATGATACTGATGATGCTGATGATGTTGGGAAGGATGATGATGATGCTGATGATGGTGATACTGATGATGCTGATGATGCTGATGCCTGGTGATGATCATGCTGCTGCTGATGATGATGATAATGATGATGTGGCTGCTGATGATCAGGATGGTGATGCTGATGATGCTGATGATGATGATGATGCTGCTGATGATGCTGAGGATGACGATGTCGATGACGATGACGAGGTTGATGCTGACAGCATGGGACGTACACGATCAATTTCGGGACGGGCGCGCACACTGACATGCGTATCGTTGGTGTAAAACGGGCGAGAAGACTGCCCCGCCCCCTCCCCAGGTGCCCGCGGAGCGGCCCTGGTCCGTGGACAGCCTCCGCTCTCTGGATAAGTCCGTCTCCGAGGTTCCCGAGGCGGAGCGCCAGCTTATCCCACCGCCAAGTCGTTGCGGGAAGTCGTGGACGATGTCTAGAGGCGCAGGGCGAGGTGGATGATGGTGACGCGGATCGGAGGGCACCAACTATACACCAACACCGATCCTGGCCAGGATCGGTGTTGGTGTATAGTTGGTGCCTTCCTAGCGGAGGAGTCGTATGGTAGAGGAGCGGGGGCAGGGACAGCGAGGTGGCGGAGTGAGCGGTAGCGGTTCAGGTGGACCAGTCGCGGGTTGGGCGGGGGAATAACGAGGATGACGATGAGGAGGAGGAGGAGGAGGAGGAGGAGGAGGAGGAGGAGGAGGAGGAAGAGGAGGATGGGAAGGCGGGATGTTGATGGATGGTTATAATGGTGATGAGGTCGATGATGAGATTGATGCTGTTGCTGCTGACGATGATGAGGCTGATGCTGCCAGTGACGATGCTGATTCTGCTGATGATGACAATGCTGATTCTGATGACTACGATGGTGATGATGCTGATGATGATGCTGATGCTGCTGGTGATGATGGTGATGCTGACATGGCACTGCTGACGACGATGATGCTGCTGATGATGATGCTGTTAATGCTTATGCTGAGGATGATGGTGCTGGCGATGCTAATAGTGAGGCTGCTCACGATTATGACGATGCTGCGGCTGATGATGACGACGACGATGCTGTTGCTGCTGCTGCTGCTGATGCTGCTGCTGCTGATGCTGCGGATTGTGCTGAGGACGAGGCGTAGGAGGCGGACGCGGAGGCGGATGATGATGCTGCTGTTGTTGATGATGATGAGTATGATGATGATGGTGATGATGACGATGACGATGATGATGCTGATGATGATGATGATGGTGGTGGTGATGAGGCTGATGATGCTGATGGTGATGATGCTGCTGCTGATGATGGTGATGCTGCTGATGAGGATGGTGATGCTGATGATGAGGATGATCACGATGATCCTGCTGATAATGACGATGCGGCTGATGATGCTGCTGGTGCTGATGTTGGTGACGATGATGGCGATACTGATGATGATGCTGATTATGATGTTGATGCTGCTGATGATACTGATGATGCTGATGATGTTGGGAAGGATGATGATGATGCTGATGATGATGATACTGATGATGCTGATGATGATGCTGCTGATGATGATGATGATGATGATTATGATGATGTTGATGCTGACGATGATGACGACGATGATGATGATGGTGGTGGTAAGGATGATGATGCTACACAGGACAATGAGGAGGAGGAGGAACGTGATGCCGTGGATGAGTAAGACTCGAGGGAGACGCGGTTCGGAAGGTTGTGGGTGCGAGGGCGGTGCTAATGACGCGGCTGGCGCTGCCGACGATGCTGATGCTGACGACTTTGTATTCTTACGGCTCTGGCGATGCTGAGGGGGCGGATCAGGCGGATAATGGAGCTGCGTTGGCGACCAGGGGGATTATGATGATGCTGATTCTGCTGATGCCGATGATGCTGAGGATGATGATGATGATGATGATGTTGGTAATGGTGATGGTGCTGAGCATGATGATCACGATGACGGTGATGATAAGGATGCTGATGATGATGGTGATTATTATAATCATGATGCTGGTGGTGCTGATGATGATGATGGTGGCCATGCAGATGATGGCGATGACGGCGATGACGATGACGATGCCGATGAACATGATGATGATGATGATGATGATGATGATGATGATGATGATGCCGATGCTGATTATGATGATGCTGCTGATGATGATGATGATGATGATGTCGATGGTGGTGGTGGTGTTGCTGGTGACAATGGTGATGATGCTGCTGCTGATGATGATGATGCTTACGACGACGATGCTGATGCTCATGATGCCGATGGTGATGATGATGCTGATGATAACTGATGGTGATGATGATGACGATGCTGATGCTGATGATGATGGTGATGATGATGCCGACGACGATGATGTCGATGATAATACGCTTAGGATGATGTTGACGATAGTGTTGATGACGATGCTGCTGATGATTGTTGTTGCTGATGGTGATACTGATGACGATGGTCACGATGATGCTGCTGAGGACGATAACGGTGATGATGTTGATGCTTATGATGTGCATGATGATGACGGTGTTGACGATGGAGGTGACGATTCTGATGAGGCTGATGGTCATGCTGATGCCGATGATGATGATTTTGATGCTGATGGATGCTGATGGTGATGCTGTTGATGATGATGATGAGAATGGGAAAGATGAAGAAAACGACCATGATGATAATATCAGCAGGAGGACAAGGAGAAGGATCAGCAGACGGACGATGATAACGATGAGACGAAGGGCGAGGAGGAGGGGGTTGAGCAGCAGCATTCTTGGCCTCGATGCCCTCGTAGCAGCGAGCTGGGGCTGGACGTGGAGCAACATGAACTCGGCACTCCTGCGTGAGCGGGCTGAGGGGGGAGCAGGACTTTGACGAGGAGTGTGAAGAGGCGAAGGGAACGGGGGAAGGGAGCGGACGAGGATGAGGGGAGGGAGAGGTGAGCATTGCCTCTCCTCATTCCTCCCTCCTCGCTCGTCCCTCGTCCCTCCTCCCTTCACCCGTCTCCTCCTGCTCCCTCCTGCTCCCTCCTGCTGCTCTTCCTCGTCATCATCCTCGTTCTTTGTTTGGTACCTCTGTCTCTTTTTTTTGTTTCTCTCTCTCTCTCTCTTTCTGTCTGTCTGTCTCTCTGTCTGTCTGTCTGTCTGTCTGTCTCTCTGTGTGTCTGTGGTTCTGTCTCTGTGTCTGTGTCTGTGTCTGTCTCTGTCTCTGTCTCTGTCTCTGTTTTTCTCTGTCTCTGTCTCTGTCCCTGGCTCAAGCCTTACAGGTGGTTCCAGTGCCAGCGACGACGGGCTGCGAAAACGTGCTCCAGCATTCCATTGATTGCATGTGGTGCATCTCTCTCTCTCTCTCTCTCTCTTCTGGCCTGGCCTCCTCGGTTCTCCTCCTCCCTTCTCTTACTCACGCGCCCGCAAGGTCCCGCGGGGGCAGTGGATGGGGAAGGGGGGCAGGTGGGATTTCCAGTCTCTGGGTGTTCATGCTTCAGAGGGAGGCTCACATGTGCATATATATAGAGAGAGAGAGAGAGAGAGAGAGAGAGAGAGAGAGAGAGAGAGAGAGAGAAAAAGAAAGAAAAGAGAGAAAGAGAGAGAGAGAGAGAGTGGGAGAAAGCGAGAGAGTGAGAGAGCGAGAGAGAGAGAGAGAGGAGGTGGGAGGGAGGGATGGAAATAGGGAGGGAAGGGGGGGAAGGGAGGGAGGGAGGGAGGGCTAGACGAGAGAGAGAACGAGAGAGAGAGAGAGAGAGCGAGAGAACGGGAGGGAGGGAGGGAGGGAGGGAGGGAGGGATACACATGTTGATGCACATGTAAATACATAAATTCATACATGCATGCATGCGCGCGTGTGTGTGTGGCACATCGCCGGAGCAGCCCCTCCGCCCAGCCGCCGACACAACAGGTGTATGTGTGTGTGTGTGTGTGTTTGCGTGTGCTGCGCATGCAGCGTGCAGGTGCGAGCGTGTAGAACTTCCTAGGTGAACGTCGCACCATCGTCGTCTATAAGCAAGCCAGGTTTTGACCGCCACCCGTACACCCAGGGGTGGAGACGGCGTTCAAGACGCGGTGCACGGTCGAGTTTTGCAGTGGCGTCTGTTCGGCCGTGCTGCTAGTGATCGCACGTGTGGTTCGTGCGAGGCTCCCCAGAAGGAAGGTATGCAGCTGGTGCGAACTGATCGGGTTGGGGGGTCCTATCTTTGTGTATGTATGCATTAACGGTGCGCTTGCATATATGTATATATATGTATATGTATACACATATGCATACCCTTATCTAGATATAGCTGTTTACCTGTACACATGTAACCGTTTGTTGATTTGTGTGTATGTGTATATCGTTCGGTTTGTCGACATGTAGGTATGCAGCTATATATAAATATATGAAAAGAGCGAGAAAGAGATAACGAGAGAGAGAGAGATAAAGAGAGAGAGAGAGATAGAGATAGAGGGAGAAGAGCAATGGAGAGACGGATAGAGAGAGAGAGAGATATAGTGATATATATAGAGAGAGAGAGAAACATATCGAAAAAGAGAGAGAGAGAGAGCGAGCGAGATAGAAAGAGATGGTGAAGCGAGAAGAGAAGACCGGAGTGAGGATCGCGGGTGGATAAGGCCGTGTCATAGGAACGCGGGAAAGGAGAGCAGACGACCAGTTTAACAAAACGGGCCAGGTGTGCGGACATTGGTGCGCAAGTTGCCCGCGTAAGGTGACGCGTGGTCTCCCTCGTCTCCACGCGGTTTCCCGCCTCAGCGGCCAGTGGGGGCCATCGCGTAAGGTCGCCGTGTCTTCGTGCGAACAACGTGATGCCGCTTCTATTCGCCGCTTGGATGGGAAGGAACCCCATCAGTCCAGGTTGCCCACGTGGAGTCCGAGTTGATTGGGTCCGAGGATGGCGCCGCATTTCCAACACATCGGCGATGCGTCTCGTTTCGGAGCTATGTTTTCTTCACCCCGACGTCGCCGATGCGCCGCCGATGCGTCTGCAGTCAAAGCCCTGAAGTAAGAAACTCGCATTGGGCTCTTGAGAGGCTCTGCTTGTTCTGCGCCTTCTCTTACAGCGGAGGCCCATGCCAAGAAACACCCTGCTTGCCTCCAGGGTGCTCTGGCTCTCTTGGGATTCGATGGTTCTGCGACGGAGCGCGTGACGTCCCCACAGCAAGCATCGATGGACGCCCTGGGGTCTCAGGGCTGGGTTTCTTGTGGAAGGTTTCTTGTGGATTGGCCTCCACTGTAGACCCAGGTCGGGTGCGTTTTTGAGTACTGTGTGTGTGTGGCTGTTTGGGCCGCAGGAGTCCGCCGCACAGCGCCCGTTCCCCTCCTCCCTCCTCCTCCTGTTTCACGCTCCCGCTGCTGCGCAATGCGGTGACAAGACAAGCTCTGGGGTGCAGGCCTGCCCCGCTGCGCAAAAAAAGCTGCAGACCCAGGCCGGGAAACCGACTCGTGGCCGAGGCTCGCCGTCGGCAGAAGAGCCCGTCTCGCTACCGATCCATGCGCTCCCCCGTGGCAGGACGCCGACTGTGTTCTCGGGCCCCGCTCGGGCGGCCTCCGATCGCCCCCCCCCCCCCCCCCACACTGCGGGTCCCACGAATATGCACCACCACCACCACCTCCATTCCTCCTCCCTCCTCCTCCCTCCTCTTCCTCGCCTCTGTCGTGGGGGAGGGAGGGGGCGGGGGAGGTGGCCCTGTACACGCCTCCTTCGAGCAAGCACGGTAGACCTCCCGTGTGACCTCTCAGGGCTCGGGCCTCCCACCCCAGCCCGTGCCCTCGCCCGCCCCCCCCCCCCCCGCCTACCCTCGCAGGCGATGCTTCTCGCCCCGATCCCCGAGTTCCGCCCGAAAGGTTGGGCCGCTCAGAAACAGGGGCAAGCCCTGGGATACACCCCAAAGTGGCTATTCGGACGCACCCCTATCGAGGATGGACGCCCCCCCATCGTATCTTCCAGGGTTGGGCCAGGGTTGGGCCCCAAACTTCTGGTCCATTCGGAAACCTCCAAACGCCTGGGATAGGGGTCGACATATCCCCTGTTACGCCCCCGAGTGGTGCAGCTCGAGAGGGGACCAAGCACGGCGGCGCTCTGCGATCCAGGCCCTCCCTCCCTCTCTTCTCGGCGCCGACCCTTGGGAAACGCGGCCCTCGCGCGGCGAGGAGTCTCCGGGCGAACCGGGTCGGGCGAAGCGAGTCGCGCGAAGCGACACCCGGGCGAAGCGAGTCCGTGCCCCCCCCCCTTCCTGGCCCCCCACGCGCCTCTCGACACCGGCCAGCTGTCGCTCAGCGCCCTCGGGGACGAGCTGGAGGAGGAGCGCCCTGGCCGCCGCCGATGGGTCGGTGGAGCGCACCCGGGCCGCTGGGCTGGCACTGGCCCAGACCGTCGTGCGCTTCTCCCGGGGCTCCTCCTCCTCCTCCTCCTCCTCCTCCTCCTCCTCCTCTCCGATGCAGACGGGGGTCAGTCAGAGCGCTGGATCTTGCAGGATCCTGCAGAGCCAGGGTTGCATCGACCCGGGTGTCGGTGCAGGATCCTGCAGGATCCTGCGGGACCTTTGCAGGATCGCGCAAGGCCTGATTGACCTGGGCCTGGATTCACCCAGGTCAGAAGATTCCTGATTCTCCTGGAACGGCGAAACCTGAGATCCGACGTTGTTGCACAAACGTGCAACATCGCCAGAAAACTCGACCAGAGCTCCAGACCCCATCTTTCCGAGACATTTTCCGAGCTCGGTCGATCTGCGAGGGTCTCGGGCCTCGATTTTGAGCGAACGCGCCCGTTGTGAAAAAATTGCAACGCCAGGATCTCAGGGAATGTCCAAGGGCCTCCCTACTGCTGTTCAGGGCCGCTGCTGCTCTCCAGCTGTCCGATCTGGTGGCCTGGGGCTCGTGGGCGGCCCTTGGCTCCGTGGCCCGTGGCTCAAGCAGCCTGTGGCTTGCGCCCCGTGGCCCGTCGACGGCCCGCGGCTCCCTGGGCCGATGCCCTGCGGCCTGTGGCGCTGCTGCTGCTGATGATGGTGATGAGGAGGAGGGGGGGAGGAGGAAGAGGAGGCGGAGGATGAGGTGACTGAGGGTGATGATGAGGATGAGGATGAGGATGGGGATGAAGATGATGATGATGATGATGATGATGATGATGAGGATGATGCTGATGATGATGATGATGATGCTGATGACGATGATGATGACGATGAAGATGATGATGCTGCTGATGATGACGAGGATGATGCTGATGACGATGGTGATGAGGATGATGCTGATGATGATGGTGGTGGTGGTGATGATGATGGCTGCTGATGATCATGAGGATAATGCTGCTGATGATGCTGATGATGAGAATGAGGATGAGGATGATGACGATGATGAGGATTATGATGATGATGCGGATGATGATCATGCCGATGATGCTGCTGATGATGCTGATGATGATGATGTGGATGAGGCTGAGGATGCTGCTGCTGATGATGATGCTGATGATGATAATGCTGATGATGATGGTGGTGAGGACGATGATGGCTGCTGATGATGATGAGGATGCTGCTGCTGATGATGCTGCTGATGATGATGATGAGGATGAGGATGATGGCGACGATGATGATTACGATGCTGATGCTGATGTTGATGATGATGATGCTGATGGTGGTGATGGCGGTGGTGGTGGTGATGATGATGAGGATGATAATGGCTGCTGATGCTGATGAGCATGATGCCGCTGATGATGCTGATGATGATGCTGATGATGCTGGTGGTGATGCTGATGATGACGATGATGCTGCTGCGGATGATGATGAGTATGATGCTGATGATGATGGTGGTGGTGGTGATGATGATGATGATGGCTTCTGATGATGATGATAATGATGCTGCTGATGATGCTGCTGCTGCTGATGAGGATGAGGATGATGCTGATGATGCTGATGATGATGAGGATGATGTTGCTGATGATGATGCGGATGATGCTGATGATGATGGTGGTGGTGAGGATGAGGATGGCTGCTGATGATGAGGATGATGCTGCTGATGATACTTTTGATGATGATGATGAGGATGAGCAATATGATGCTGATGATGACGACGGTGATGATGATGATGACAATGCTGATGATGCTGATGATGATGAGGATGATGCTGATGATGATGTTGATGATGATGCTGCTGCAAATGGTGGTGGTGGCCTTGATAATTATGAGGATGGCTGCTGATGATGATGAGGATGCTGCTGCTGCTGATGATGATGATGATGAGGATGAGAATGAGGATAATGACGATAATGATGACAAGGCTGATGATGATGCTGATGATGATGTTGATGCTGCTGATGATGATGAGGATGCTGACGATACTGATGATGATGAGGATGATGCTGATGATGATAATGGTGAGGATGATGCTGCTGATGATGATGATGATGATGATGATGAGGATGATGATGCTGATGATGATGGTGGTGGTTTTGATGATGATGGCTGCTGCTGATGACGATGATGAGGATGATGCTGATGTTTCTGTTGATGATGATGAGGATGATAACGAGGATGATCAGGATGATGCTGATGATCATGCTGATGATGATGATGATGCTGATGATGCTGCTGATGCTGATGAGGATGATGCATCCGATGATGCTGCTGATAATGATGATGATGCTGATGGTGGTGGTGGTGGTGATGATGATGATGATGATGATGGCTGCTGATGAGGAAGATAAGGATGATGTGGCGGAGGAGGAGGAGGAGAAGGAGGAGGAGGAGGAGGCTACTGCTGCTGCTTCTGCTTCTGATGGTGATGGTGATGGTGATGGTGTTGGTGATGATGATGATGCTGATGATGCTGATGGATGATGATGATGATGATGATGATGATGATGATGATGATGATGATGATGATGATGATGATGCCGATGCTGATGATGATGACGATGATGATGATGATGATGATGATGATGATGATGATGATGATGATGATGATGATGATGAGGATGATGATAAAGATGATGATGCTGATGACGAGGAGGTGATGTTAATGACTCTGTGTCCGTGGACCGTGGGAGGCCCGCAGTTCTGTGGGCCGCGGGTTGGCGGCCGGCGGCTCGTGGCCCGTGGTTTGCGGTGCCCAGTGGTCTGGCGGTACGCGGTTTCGGCGAAGGGTGGCCCGGTGGCCAGTGAAGCTGGTGATCCGAAGTTTGGCTGGCTGTGACTACGTATTTAGGTGGCCCATGATTCGGTGGTCAGTTCTTCTTTGGCCTTTGGGCTCGTGGCTCGTGGCTCGGATGCCCCCGGTTCCTCGGATTGGTGGGCCGTGGTTCGGTGGCCGTGGTTCGGTATCCCGTAATTTGGTGGCCAGCTTGATTTGAGCTTCGGCGGACCTCGTTTCGGTGGCATGTGACTCGTGGTAGTTGACAGTCATGCGCCAGGCATCATCATTGGTGTTGTGAAGGATTCCACAAGGTGTTGAGGACCTCTCTGGCAGCAGTCTGCCGCCGGCTGTTTGTATGGAGGTTGAGGGATGCGATGGAGGATGACGAGAAGGATGAGGATGAGGAGGGGGGTGAGAAGGAGGATGAGGAACAAGAGGAGGAGGAGGAGGAGGAGGAGGAAGAGGAGGAGGAGGGGCGAGGACTGATGATGCTGATGATGATGAGGAGGATGAGGAGGATGCGACGCGGGGGAAAGGGTCGTGATGATGATGATGGTGATGATGATGACGGCGTCGACGACGAACGACGACGATGTCGGATGATGGTGGTGATGACGCATCGCGATGACTGGTGGTGCTAAGTACGATGAATACGATGAGGGTAAAGACGATGACGATGGCGATGATGACGTGTTCGGTGATGTCTGTGAGAATGATGATGCAGCTGATGATGATGCTGATGAGGATGACGGCGCCGATGACGATCTTGATTCTGATGATGACAACTTGATGATGATGATGATGATGATGATGATGATGATGATGATGATGATGATTGTGATGATGACGATGATGGTATTGTTGATGATGCTGATGGTGACGACGGTGATGAGTATGCTGTATGATGACGACGATGACGCTGACGACGGCGATGCTGATGTTTAAGATGATGCCGTTGATCATGACGATGATGACAATGATGATGACGCTGACGCTGACTACAACGACGATGATGACAGTGCCGATGATGATGGTGATGACCATGACGACGGCGATGCTGATGATGATTATGATGATGCTGCTGTTCATGGAAAAAAATGATGACGACGACGTCGACCGTGGATCATCATGATGATGCTGATGATGGTAATGTTGATGTTGATGATGATTATGCTGTTGATGATTGTTGGTGGTGTTGATGATGAATATGATGATGATGAGGATGATGATGATGATGCTGCTGCTGATGATGATGATGATGATGATAATGATGGTCATGGTAAGCATGATTATCATGATAATGGTGGTGATGATGCTGCTGATTATGCTGGTAGTGATACTGATGATGATAACGATGATGATGATCATTGTGATGGTAATGATGAGGATGAGGATGAAGAGGATGATTATGTGGATGATGGTGGTGATGATGACGGTGGTGATGACGTAATACTGATGATGCTGAGGATTCTGATGATGACGACTAATGGCGATGATGAAGATGATGCTGACGACGGCAATGCTGACGTTTATGGTGATGACGTTGATCATGCTGATGACACTGATGATTCTGACGCTGACGGTCACTACAATGACGATGATGACGACGATGATGAGGATGATGATGACGAAGCTGATGCTGCTTATGACAATGATGCTGACGACGACGTCGACGACGATGACGACGACAACGACGACGTTAATAGTTGTTGCTATGGTGTTGGCTGGTGGTGATGGTGATGGTGGTGATGATGATTATGATGCTGCTGATGATGGTGACGATGATGCTGATGAGGATGATGATAATGACAATAATCACGGTGCTGATACTGATAATAATGATAATGGTGGTGGTGGTGGTGGTGGTGGTGGTGGTGGTGGTGGTGATGACGATGCTGATGCTGATGGTGATGGTGATGCTGCTGCTGATGATAAGGATTCTGATGATGATGATTATGATGATGATGATGATGATGATGCTGATGATGATGATGATGATGATGATGATGATGATGATGATGCTGATGACGATGATGATGACGATGATGACGATGATGCTGCTGATGATGCTGCTGATGACTATTCGGATGAGAATTCGTGATGGTACAGGAAAAGAGGAGGACCACGATGATGTAGATGATGATCTTGGCCCAGCGCCCCACGAAGAGTGCAGAAGGCTTCCTGGACCTCCTCCCCTGTGCCGTCTCGTGCTCCGTTCCATTTGCAGCTCGTTCCACCAGTCTCCGCGGAGCGAGACCAGTGCTCCGCAGCGGCAGCTGTGCGTGTCGCTGGAGGGAGCTGACCAAGGACCAAGTAACCGACCGACCGACCAACGAGCCAACCACGGATTGCCCGAGGCTGCGATCCACCTCGGGCGGGGCCAGCCGACACGGCACCCCGCCCCCCCTCACGTCACCCGAGGTCTTCCTCGGGCTGGGCGTCGCACCGCGCACGCGCCTCAGCCCTGGCCTCCGGGGCTAAGGAGGAGGCGGGGGCGGAGGCGGAGGAGGAGAAGGCGGAGCAGCAGAAGGCGGGAGGAGGGAGGAGGATCGGGACGCTGGCAGGAAGGCGTTGTGAGATCTCACGTTCAGTGCTTCGGACTGCATCTTTTCTGGGAGATGTCCCGGGCCAGGTCGACCCGCGAGATCCCCGGGGCTTGAAACGGGGCGACGGTGGCCGTCGCGACTGTCCGGCAGCGCCGGGAAGTCCAGGCTCGTCCCCGCCCCCCGGCAGGAGGACGAGTCGTGGGTCTTCTGGGACGAGCAGAAGAAGAACACCCCGGGCCCCAACGGCCAGCCGCGCCGGAAGGTCCCAGAGGTGTTGCCCGACCCGCTGCCCTCGCTGGCGGGCCGCGCTGCGGAGCGGGCCCGCAGCCGCGTGGAGACCCAGGCCTCCAGCGTCGCGAGGGACTCCGCTCTGCGGCCTCTGGGGGCCGCTCCCGGGGGCCCCCCGGGGGCCCCCCGGGGGCGACGTGGGAAGTCGTGTCCGCGTCGACGGAGCGGTCTCCCGGGGAAGGGGGTCGGGGTTCCTGGGCCCCATCTCCTCAACAGCTCACGACGTCGGAGGTCTGGAAAGAGAGAGGGGGTGGCAGATCTGATCGGCCGTCCACGCGGGGACTCCCCCCATCCAGTATCCTGCTCACATCCCAGAATGTTAACATAACACCGTTTTTAAAGTACGGTAGGTTCGTGCAGCGATGGCCCGCTGGTGACTCCAGCGGAGGCGTTCAAGGTTGAACTCCGCTTGGTAGAACGACGCGGAAGCGCCGAGGGGCACGGTGACGCCACAAGACCCGACGGAATCCAATTTTGAACGATCGGGGCCCCGATAGATTCAAGGTAGAACGATCGACGCGGGGTCGAAAACTTCGTGCCGACGCCGCGCGAACCTACCGTATGCCATGCTGTGCTGGATTCGCACGCGCACGCACTGCCGGCTCGCGTTCTTGGACCAAGAAAAGCCCCCCACTGCTCGGCGAGCGCCGAGCCCTTTGGGGCCCGACGGTGGATGGATGGGCGCCACCCCAACATATTTACACTATATGTGCGTCGCCCCCTCAGGGGCGATGCGCGCACCGTGAAATCTTGCCGGCGGGGCTTCAGGTGACAGGGGGGCTGCGCCAGCCCAGCCCGTCTTTGGGGGAGGGAGTAGGGTGCCTGGTGGGCTGGAGGTGCGAAGGCTCGGTAGGAGGGGGCCCAGCATCGCAAAAGCTGCCTGTGATTCTGTTGGGGGCCCTCATGGGTCCCTCTTGGAGCCCTCCCGGCGTCCGAATGGGGCCCTTCTGGGGCGCTTTCGACCCGTCCCAGGGCTTCAGGTGGGCGTCGGGGAGCCCCCGGGAGGGCCGCCTGAACAGACCCCAACATAATCATACTAGAAGCCCTTGGTATGATTCTGTTGGGGGCCCTCATGGGTCCCTCTTGATGAGCGTGTTTTCCACCACCACCACCATAAGTTGGAGGGGGGGGTCCTCCTCCTCCTCCTCCTCCTCCTCCTCCTCCTCCTCCTCCTCCTCCTCCTCCTCCTCCTCCTCCTCCTCCTCCTCCTCCTCCTCCTCCTCCCTCCTCCTCCCTCCTCCCTCCTCCTCCTCCCTCCTCCTCCTCCTCCTCCTCCTCCTCCTCCTCCTCCTCCTCCTCCTCCTCCTCCTCCTCCTCCTCCTCCTCCTCCTCCCCCCTCCTCGCCCCATCCAACTTATGGTGGTGGTGGTGGAAAACGCGCTCATCACCTCTTGGAGCTCTGCCGGCGCCCTGTCGGGGCCCTCTCGGGGCGGCCTCCGACCCCGTCCCGGCGTTCCGGAGGGGGGCCCCCAGTCGCCCCAAAAAGCGGCCAAAATGGGACACCGAGCCCCCCCCCCTCCCCCCCCCTCGGCGTACCGAGGGGGGGGGGGGCCGGTGCACCGAGGGGGGGAGGCTCGGTGTCCCATTTTCGGCGGTTTTCGGGGTCTTCTGCGCCCCGTCGTGGCCTGCCCCGGGTCGGGGGCCATCTGGCCTTCCGTAGACGTCTGCCTCGAGCTTGCCTTCTGGCTTCTTTCTCCCTGGGCCCGCCCGCCCGAGAAGCGAGGCTGAGGCAGAGTATGACGGCTGTTGCGGATGACGGATGATCCTCTTCGTGCGCGGCTCCGACCACCAATAGCCGGTGTCTCTCCCGGGGGTAGTGGCTTGGTGGTTGACGGGGCTGCGGACGGGATCGTAAAGACGACTCATGGGCCGCCATACTGGAGGCGTCCGTTTGCTGAGCACTTATGTTCAAAGGGGCAGGGTGGCAGACACACACCCGTTGCTCATCGGGTCGGCGGGCCCGGCGGATCATGGCCTGAGGCTTCGTCCTTCCTTGCCTCGGTTGATCCAACCAGTCGCGCGCGTGTGCGCGTCGACTTTCGGGGGGAGGTAGAGAGGAGAGAGGGTCCTGGCCTTCGTGCCCTGTGGGCCCTCCGTAACGACCGCCGCGCGCCCTGCTTGCAGGGCTGGTGGCCTGGTGGGCATCGACAGGGCATGATAGGGTTGGGCTATACCCTCAACCTTCTCTTTTGCTTTCCCTCGTACGCCACCTGCAGGCCAGAAGGAGGGCCCAGGTGGCGTGCTCGCCAACGTTCGCCTCCTCCGCTATTGCCCCTCATTGCCCTTGCTTCGTACCTCCTTTCCCCCTCTCGCCCTCCTCGCCCGTCCAGGTAAGAATCTACATTCCTGCCCAAAGATATAGTATATGCGTCGCGGCGGGCGTTTTCTGGCCACACCGCTCGGGAAACGATACACTACAAGATGGATCTACTATATTTTCGGGTCGGACGCGCGCCTCCAAGGAGGACATATAGTATTAGTGTGTCCCTGTGCGTCCCAGAGGGAGGTGGCAGAGGGAGGGGGAGAGGGTCAGAAGGGACGACGTCGACCGCTGGCCCCTCGAGCCGCACGAGGTCCCGCCGGGCATCCATTTCCTTGTGTGCTCTCCAGCTGCGTGGCTGCAGGCAACCCGCCCAGCTGCGCGGCTACAGTCGACCCGCACAGTGAGGATGAGCAGCTTTCCAAGGCTACAGCCAAGACGCTGAAATTAGAAAAGCAGTTTGGATTCGGAAGGGGCTCGATGTTCCTCACGTCCTTCCGTGGTTGTTCCTCTGGCTTTTCTCGTGCACCCGGGTTTTTTTTTGAAGCCACAGAGGGGCTTCGTTCCTCATTTAGCGTTCCTTATTTCAGCAGCCCGACTGTACCCTTTGCGTCCCTCCACTTCGGCCCATCCTGGGCCACGTTCGCTGGCCGCGCCCCGCCCGCGGAGTGCCGCCATGGACCTCCCCCTTGCATTCTTAGCGCGTGTCCTTATGGTTCTGCGATTCAGTCGGGCCTGTCACTCTACAGGAGGAGTGTTCCAAAATAGTCAACATGATGGACCCACGAACCCGGAAAGGGATATAGACATGTGGAGCATGGACGCGTTTTCATGATACCCAACTGGGCAACACCTCACGAAACATCCCACGAGACACCTCACGAAACAGCCCACGAGACACCTCACGAAACATTCCACGAGACACCTCACGAAACATTTCACGAGACACCCCGCGAAACATTCCACGAGACACCCCACGAAACATTCCACGACGACAGGCAACCACTCAACCAAGGCGGTGTGGTCGTGCTGGGGAGTGGTCGTGCTGGGGTGTGGTCGTGCTGGGGGGTGGTCGTGCTGGGGGGTGGTCGTGCTGGGGGGGTGGTCGTGCTGGGGGGTGGTCGTGCTGGGGCGTGGTCGTGCTGGGGCGTGGTCGTGCTGGGGCGTGGTCGTGCTGGGGTGTGGTCGTGCTGTGGTAAGGTCGTGCTGGGGTGTGGTCGTGCTGGGGTGTGGTCTTGCTGGGGTGGGGTCGTGCTGGGGTGTGGTCGTGCTGGGGTGGGGTCGTGCTGGGGTGTGGTCGTGCTGGGGTGTGGTCGTGCTAGGGTGGGGTCGTGCTGGGGTGGGGTCGTGCTGGGGAGTGGTCGTGCTGGGGTGTGGTCGTGCTGGGGTGTGGTCGTGCTGGGGCGTGGTCGTGCTGGGGTGGGGTCGTGCTGGGGTGGGGTCGTGCTGGGGTGGGTTCGTGCTGGGGTGCTCCGCACCCTGTGATTTATCGATCGGGTCGTGCTGGGGTGTGGTCGTGCTGGGGTGTGGTCGTGCTGGGGTGTGGTCGTGCTGGGGTGTGGTCGTGCTGGGGTGTGGTCGTGCTGGGGCGTGGTCGTGCTGGGCGTGGTCGTGCTGGGGTGTGGTCATGCTGGGGGTGTGGTCGTGCTGAGGTGTCCCGCACCCTGTGATTTATCGATCGGGATTTCAAAAACAAGCGTTTCGCCTGAGACATCCTCAAATTTTAATCCGCCGGCCTCCTTCGACTTCGATATTTATCAGGGAAAGAATCCGCCGGCCTCCTTCAAGTTGGGCACGGGGGGATATGTTTACATACTAAAAGGGAACCCTGGGCCTGCGCCCTTTCCGGGAAAAAATGTCAGGGGACGATTTTCTCTGCATTTTTTGACATATTGGGGGTATTTTTTGGGGACAGCTTTTAATTTTCTCCCAAAATCCCCCTGTATGGGGGGCAGGCCCGACCTAATTCTACGGGTGGCTGCAGTTTTTCCCCACATGCTTCGTGGGGTTCTGGTTTTCTTCCCTGCCGCGCCGCACCCGCGTCTCCTCACACCTCCCCTCCTCTCTCTTTCTTCCTCCCCTCACTCACTCACACACACACACACACTTCACTCTTCCCCCCTCGTCACAGCACTGCTCAGCTCAGCTCAACTCACCTCAGCACAGCACAGCACAGCTCAGCTCAGCTCAGCACAGCTCGGCTCAGCTCAGCACAGCTCAGCACAGCCCAGCACGGCTCAGCTCAGCACAGCACAGCACAGCTCGTGGCACTTTCTCGACACCACAGGGGGTGCGCAGGGGTTGGTCTCTCAGCTCGGCCGCTATCCACGACACTGGCGCAAAGCCTAGCAGGCGTGGCACTCTCTCGACACCAAAGGGGGTGGGCAGGGGGTGGTCTCTCAGCTCGGCCGCTATCCACGACACTGGCGCAAAGCCTAGCAGGCGTGGCACTTTCTCGACACCACAGGGGGTGCGCAGGGGGTGGTCTCTCACCGCGGTCCCTATCCACGACACTGGCGCAAAGCCTAGCAGGCGTGGCACTCTCTCGACACCAAAGGGGGTGGGCAGGGGGTGGTCTCTCAGCTCGGCCGCTATCCACGACACTGGCGCAAAGCCTAGCAGGCGTGGCACTTTCTCGACACCACAGGGGGTGCGCAGGGGGTGGTCTCTCAGCTCGGCCTATCCACGACACTGGCGCAAAGCCTAGCAGGCGTGGCACTTTCTCGACACCACAGGGGGTGCGCAGGGGGTGGTCTCTCAGCTCGGC